TGAAAGTCACTGGGTTGGGATTTTGAGAAAATGAACACGCAGCCATTTATACCACAACTTAATTGATTAATAAGTAATGTATGAGTCCAAAATCCAAGCTGCTTTTCTTTGTTTTCAGTGATTGGAATCTAGGTGTCTGTTGGTTCTGACTACACGAGGAATGTTTCAGGTTTTTGGTCTGTTTTTACAATCTCTTGGCATTTTCTAAACTAAACAATAAATCGATGAATTGAAAAACTGATTGTTATTAGCTGGCCAAGTGTCAACATCGGCATTTATAGTACACATTTAATATTTTAGTAGTAGTTAAAGTGTGTCAGATTCCACATGTAGGAGATACAGTTTGACATTATAACCATGATAACCAGTATTTACTGAAGTAAACTAGTCTTTCCTGCAGCTCAGATAGATTTGCATGGCTCCATCTGGAGAAATCCTACTTCTAAATGCTGAACTGTACATGCTTTATGTTCAAGGTTTAAGATCATTATATTCTAGCGACATGCAGTCAGTTGTTTATAATCTGAACAGTTTTTCTTGCTGTTCTTTTTCAGTAGTTAACTCCAGATTGTCTGTTAGTTTGTAGTATTTGTGATGTTTTAAACTTTTGCGTGAATCTGTGGATTTAGACTTGTGTCCGTTTCTTTTCAGCCCATTTATGACATAACTGTGTTTAGTTGTTTTGTTGCGTCTGAATTCCCGGCCGGTTCGGAGCTCAGCACGCTGACAGAGTTGGCATTATGAGCTCCAGGCCGTGGGAACGTCCCTGGACGATGGATTTCTGCTAGACGGTGACCCCTAGTGTGGCCCCCTGTTCTTCCTCCTCCTCCTCCTCCTCCTCCACATGTTCGCATGTGTGCTCACACACACACACTTTGTCTTCTAAAGGGAATCAATAAGAAAACACATTAACATGGAGAGCAGGTCACAGCCTTTAAATGGACTCTTCCTTTTTTCCCCACCATAACTTAATGTAGATTTTCTTTTCAGCTGCTCTCGACTGATGTTTTTAGACAGTTGGATTTTGCAGTTGTAGCTTTGCTTATGATGCTGCTGTTCAGATGGCATGTCTTTGTAAATGACCTGGGCGTGCTGTTGTGTTTGTGTTTTCCAGGAAGGAGCGTCGGCTCGGAAGGCCCAGACCCCAGCGCTGCAGCCCGTCCCTCGTCCAGGTTAGTGCTGAATTCTAAATATTCCCGTTCAGCCGCGCACTCGTGTGTCGACGGCATTTTAACTGAGATGTGTAACAGCTCTGTGTCCTGCCTGAGACTTCCTTCATTATAAAGGCCGCTGCTCATGCTGGCTGACCCAACAGTTGGACGGGATGCAACTGTCACAGTAATGTCCCTGAAAAGGGATCAGTAAAGTTCTGTCTTATCTTATTATACGACCTCGCAGATGCGCACGTGGACAGCTGTTATTATGCAGCTATATTGACCCCGTGTAATATAATCACTGCGTGGACACAAACTGGGACAACCACAATGCAAAAAGTATTAACACTAACCTAAGAAAGAGACAATGGGAAGAATTAGAGAACTTTCAGCAAATTGAATGGTTTTGGCAGCAGCGTGTAGTTGGCAGCTGCTGAGCCCCCGAACACTGGACAAAAGACCAAGTAGGAAAGGCAGAGAGATTAAATTGCCATTTTAGATTTCGCTGTTAGAACAAGAGTGGAACCCGCAAGCCCACGTTGTGGCGCCTTTAAGAAGAGCAAGATATCGACACGCAAGTCGGCGTCAACGAGTCATTAGCGAGACGACTGAGTGACAGATTATGCGAGACGGGGGTGACCCAGGACCAGCGGTTTAATTGATATTCCTCAGTGTGCTCACAGAAATTCCCACTGCAGGACTCGCCTCGTGGTATTTCTGGTGCAGTTTTAGCTGCTGGATACCGCACAACAACTGTTTACACCGATGTTTTTCACGAGTTTAACGGAAGATGCCGCCGCGTGACACAAAGCTGTCACGGTTTTGGCACACGGGCAGAATGAGAGATGGGTTGTTTATGGTTGGTTTATTGGTGGTTTATGGTTTATTGGAAAACAGAACAATCAGCAGCTTGTTTGATAACTGAGACTATCGCAGAGTTGTGGCGCACGTTACTTCACAGAATTAATGCTTTAAACTGATAAAGGGGAACACGTTTTGCTTACGTGAATCATTTACAGATTCGGAAAGAAGCTGACTTTTACAGATGCAAATAAGAGTTGTTTTTTTTTTTTTTATACCCCCACATTTTTTAAATGTCATGCATCATCCATTGCTACCCTGTCGTCCTTTTGTGAACTCTCTATCACATTGGTGGAGCAATCCTTCCACTGGATAAAAAAACAGCATACACTGCGAAAAAACAAAGGAAAAAAAAGCTGCTTTTTCCTACCATGTGCAACACTTCTCCAGGGTCAAACTGAATCTCAGTTCGCTTTTTGCCGTTGTTCTCGCTAACTCTGACCTGGTTGACGCGAGGCTGCTTCCAGTTGTCACCAACTATCAGTGAGCACTAAGGCCACCTATAGGGGACAGCGTGACGAGAAGCATAAAGTCGTACTAGCCAATCAGAATCCTGGAAAAAACACAACAACGAAAACTTCCTGTTACTTAACGGCGCGAGGTTCGTTTGTTTGGACCGACACAGAGGTGGCGTTAGAGGATAAAACAAGGAAAATACTTGAACACACTGACGCAGCCAAACTGTAAACATGGTCGCACACGTGTGACGCTGACGACGCTTTTGTCGCACACATGTGACGTCAAACTCCACCTCCTCCTGCCTGCACGTAAAGACGGAGTTTTCCCAAACCTCCACTTTGGTTTTCAGATCTGATCGTAGCTTGGTTTACGTGCAAACCAAAAGGCCCGTTGCCATATCACCATGTTAGCTACGTGTAAACAGGCGCCAGTGTTTTCCTTCCCAGCATTGCCCCGTCGGAAAGCGCCTGGGCAAATCTTTGAATGTGTCAGTTATTCCAATCTCCCACCCACACATCAGGCTTTACAGGGTCAATAAAACCACAGTGTTTCATAGTACTGTGAGGCAGGATGTTGTTTTTAAGGTTTTTTATGGCTGATATTTTTGGACCACCTATACTGCCACTTTTTCCTCACCTACAAATAAATATTGCCCCCCAAAAAAGAAAAAATGGAGCAGGTCTCAGGTTGTGTAATATTGCAAGAAAATATGCAAATGATTTCTGGATGAAGGTGCATCAGTGAATGGACTTTTTGTCCGGACAGAAGAATCGCACATCTGTTTGACTTCTCGGCAAACGCCAACCCAAGACGCTCCCACAGCTTTTTCCATTTTTTTTAACGTGGCAGACCAACAAAGCGGCATCAGTGTGCGACGCTTTCGGCCTACAGCGAGAATTATTGGAAAAGCTCGGCTTCATCGACAAATCTCAGAACGTAGCGTGCCGTTTTCACATTAAACAAAAAGCAATTTTATCAAACCAACATTTTCCCCGATTCACCTCCCTGCAGCACTGCTTCACCCTGGAAGTCAGCTCTTCTATTTATTCATGTTCTTTTTGAGCCTTTTGCTGTGAATGATTTCGAGGAATCGTGAAGTTTTACCTCCAGTTGCTGCAGGAAGCTAGTATTTAATCCCTTCCATGCCGTGTCCACCGCCGACCAAACGAAGAGCAGGGACGTTCCTACCCCTCTGACTTCGTTTTAAAGACCGAACCAGCTGCAGCTAATTGTGCTGATGACGCCTTGTGTAGCCAGTGAGCTCCAGTGGGTGGCTTCAGTGGGCAAAGCAGCTACCTGTCGCCGGTGAAGTCCGGGCGCGAGAGAAGGAAAGCGCCATGTTAGACCGCCGTGGCTGCTACAGCGAGTGGCACGTTGCCAGTAAGCTGTAAAATATGTCAATGATTTGTGTTTCATCAGTTGTTTACTCTTTGTGCACAAACGAGTCCCCAGATGACCTTTTCTGGAGAACACCTGGACATACCCTTCAAAAAAATGCATCCAAAATATACTTTTTCTGTGGCATTGTTTTACAGTCTGACTCCTGACTCGCTGAGGCTTTATGCCGTCGTCCACTTTTGTTTTCTTTTGTTGCTCAGTGCCACTTGTAGGGAACATGTTGGGGGGGAAACTTCAGGGTCTTAAAAGACAGATTATGCAAGTAAATGCATAAATAAGAACAGCTCGGTTTAGGTTCATTCCAGAAACAGCAAGGAATTAACGGACCCATTCAGTTTAATTTTATTTATTCAGGTATGGTTGGTGCTGGATGTTGTGGAGAATATTTGTCTGTCTAAAGCATTTTCACGACAATATAATTCTGTTTCCCCCTGTTGTTTATGATCATATTGTTCTTTATTTCTTCTAGTTTCACAAGCCAGACCTCCACCAAATCAGAAGAAAGGTGCGTGACAGCGTCCTGCACATGATGATACAAGCACTACTTTTTACTGCTGTCACATCTGCGTTTGCTTGACTGCCTCGCTTCATGTGTTTTTATCCTCCGCAGGCTCTCGGACGCCCATCATCATCATCCCCGCTGCCACCACCTCACTCATCACAATGCTCAATGCAAAGGATCTCCTGCAGGATCTAAAGTAGGCTTAAATCTTTACTGCACTTACGAAACATTTTTATTCGGCTCGCATAAAAGGAGAACAGAAAGCTGTCGAGCCACTTTTTTGTTTATAAGTTATGAGGCGGCTGCACCGTCGAGGAAGATGCAGTGTTGTTCATATACAATGATCCCTGTGGTACAGTTCCTCAGCAGTAAGTTTAAGGGCAGATATTGAGGGATTATTATTGGTGTTATTCTTTTTTTTATTATAGCCTGAATAAAGGTTAAAATTTCAGTTAAATGATCGTTAATTTATTGGAGAGTTCGTTTTTACGACATCTACATGAGCAGCTGTTAGGATTAACCGGTGTGTTTGGCAAATGTTTTATCTCTGACAACGCTGCTGCTGAGGCTGCAGGAGTGTAAAAGTTCTCTAACAGACAGAGCCGGTATCATCAAACTCAACGTACCTGAGGACGGCTGGAGGTAGTCTGGGCCATATCAAGTGTTCCACAAAAAAACAAAGACGGGGTTTCAAGTATTCCCAAAAAGAAAGTACAGCTGATCCGATCTTCTCAATCTTTATTAATAACAATTCTGAACATGAACGGTTCTTCAGAACATAGGCTCCTCCTACCTGCTCCCTGCTTTTGAACCTTAATCTACAAATCAATGATCTGGAACCGAGCTGCTCGACGCCTGGTGTGCAAAAATCATAAAAACTGAAAAGCTGATTTTTAAAAACTGATGTGCGAAATGAGGAGGAGGAGCAGCGAGACAGAAAAAGTAAAATAGGCAGCGCTTCCTCTTACAAAAAGTGATCAAAAATAGGAAACGCCCTGTGCAACGAGTCATACAAGTGCGTGTCAGAAAAACGCGTGGGCCGCACTAACGTTAGACTTTGATGTCAAGTAAGAGAGACGAGATAAAACTTTATTGGTCCCTTTGATAGGGCACCTCAGGGAAATTATTGTTTACAGCTACATCCCACCCAACAGGAGGGAGAACTGTCAGGTCAGCCAGCATGAGCAGCGCCCCTTGAGGGGGCCACAAAATATCAGTTTGAGACCCCTGGACTACACCGTTTGTTGTTTATTTACGTCGAGCTTTCACATAGTGGTTAAATCCTGCAGTATGGATTCCCTAGTCATCATTTTTAACACAGCAGCAATATGGAAGAAACTGGCTGTAGAAGTAACTCTGTTTGAACACAGCAGATATTCACAGCAGTAAAATGTAGTTTCATCCCAAAACAAATGTCGTCACGCAGAGAAATCAAACATTTATCAGACCTGCAGCGCAAAGCAGGTTCTGCTCAGCTGGTGGAGAAGTTTAACGTGTGGTCGTTTGAGTCTAACTGTCGAGGAAGTCTAAACCTTCACTGGGGCTTCTACCAGGTTCGTCACATCGGAGGAGAAGAAGAAGCAGGGCCTCCAGCGCGACAACGAGGTTCTGCTTCAGAGGCGCAAAGACCAGATCCAGCCCGGCGGCACAACGCTGAGCGTCACCGTGCCGTACCGTATCATCGACCAGCCGCTCAAGCTGGCTCCACAGGACTGGTGAGGAGCCTCGTGTTTTATTCACATTTGGTTGTAAGAACATTTCTGACTAGATTCTCGTGCTGTTTGATGGAATGCTCTGAAAAATGTAGATCTTAAATGTGATGTTTTACACTTAAAGTGGCATCTTCCTACAGAGGAGTAGTTGTGCATCGTGTTGGCTGGATTACTCCTATCACCCAACGAACACTTGTCAGCCGCTTCCTCTGATGGATCTGTGACACTGAATCACTTGGAAAAAAAACATATGACTCAGGGGTGTACGTGCACACGGGTACACAGCGTTACACAATACCGGCCTCGTTGTAATCTCGTTTATTAATGTCAGGTTTTGAAGAAGGAAAAGAGAGGTTCTTTTCTTTTTTCATTTCACACTTGTCGCTCACACCGCCGCTGCAGGAACAAGGCACACGCCCGCCTAGAAGCACGATGATGCTGCAGCAGCATCGTCAGCGCCTCATTCTCGTCTCACATTATTAGAAAAGTGAACCTCTTTAAAGACAAATGCACAACATCGCAGTAATCGTGACACCCGAGCCGGGCATCACGCAGCATTAACCACAGCAGCCTCAACGTTAACCGGCAGCAGGGGACTTGGTTTCGTGTTAAATGTTTACCTCTGTCTCTTCACAACAACCTGCGGCTGCTTCTCGCTGCAGGGATCGAGTGGTGGCCGTGTTCGTGCAGGGTCCCGCCTGGCAGTTCAAAGGCTGGCCGTGGCTGCTGCCCGACGGATCTCCTGTCGACATTTTCGCAAAAAGTGAGTAACGTGGACTGTTGGCATCGGCTTACGGTTGCACATGATGATGGAGTAGTTCACATGATTATAATTTTAGTGTTGGAGTCTTGTTTGAGTCACACTGAGGTCAGACAGAAGATACTGAGCAGGATTATAAACGGTCATGGAAACAGATCAACAGAACATTAAAGGGAAACTGTGTTAGTACGGAACAACTAAGAGGTTTTTCCCACAGTACGTACTTCCTGATTCTCTCTGTTAAAGATTAAACAGAATAGCTGTAGACTATCACCCCTTATCCCCGTCTTATCTGTGGAGATCTGTGGCTTTTTTTTTTGGTGCTAATTTAAAGCCCACAGATCTAGCTGACAGGGCTTTTTTTTTTTCAAAATGAGTGTGGAAAATATCCAGACTATTGTTCCTATTCTGTTTTCTAAAATATCAAATGTGTTATTTGTTAAAATAAACTGATCATACAAGTGGAGTGTTTTTCATCACCAGAGCCATTGAAAGTAAGGCAGGAGAGCCTTCTAACCAGAACCAGACCGCCACCAAATTAGTTTAAAAAGAAACTGCATCAGCGTATCGGACGAAAGACATGAATGAAGTACAGTCGTGACTCGATGATTCAACCCTTAAAAATCCTAAACCTTGCTATCCGACAGGTTTTTAGGAAAAACAAACAGAACCCATAAAAACAGCCTTAACATAGCGACAGCCTTGGATTCTGACTCCGACATGACATTTGATGTCACCAATCAGGATAACAGCGTATTATCTGACTGAACAATCCCACAGATTGGCTACGTTCACACTGCAGGACTTGATGCTCAATGAGGATTTCTTTGTGAGTTCCTTCACGTTT